CAGAGCTTGAAGTCCAAATACTGAGGAAAAGAATCATAAGCTTTCAAGCTGCCTCTGGTCTTTCAAAGCTCTGAATATCATAGCCTCCCTCAGAGCATCCAGGAGACCATGGTGCTTTTGGGAATTCATGACAGTACCTCTCCTTACCCAGCGTAAGTTCAGACCCTGATGGTGCCACAGTGCCTATTGAAGTTTTAGGGAGGAAATCTCTCAGCAGACAGAAGAGGGGATTTCAAAGCTCTTACAGATCATTCCAGGCCATTTATGCTGCTTAAAACCAGGGCAAGGTTCCCAGCATCAACCTTCAGATAGATGTCCAGCTCCACAATCACAGTCACGAATTACCTTTCTCTAAACAAGTCCTCAGTAAAGAAGGAAAGCATTACCTTCAGGCTGACTCTTCCTAGTAAGTCTTTAACATGCTGGAGCATGGCCCAAAAAACCCTGAAGCACTGCACTCAGGAGGGCAGGAGAATAAGCAGCTGAGCTAAGAAGAAAGCTCATAAAAAACCCACCTGCATACATGGCAGTGTTCACTGCTTTGTTTGGGTATGAAGCAGCCTCCAGAAATTATGATAATGTTCCTTGAAATGATGTACCGTTCAGCTGACAGTGTAGTAGGTTGGGTATATTGGTACACAGGTCTGCCAAAATCAACTCTGCGTTGCTGAATGCTCTTTCTGGCCCTAAGAATCATTGACTCAGTTCAGGTACAGTTGAGCCATCACCTCAGTCTGCTCCACTGCCTGAACCAGGCATACACAGAATGATCATTTGCAGCCCTGCTGATGTTTTTCTCAGTCCTCCCATATTCTTTGGGCCACCTGCCACCCTCAACACCAGGAATTTCACAATGACTTCTGTCCACCCGATCATATCCCTACTGAAGAGCAGCAAAAGGGTGATACAACCTCATGAACAGTCATCGTTGTCTCCTGGACCAACATTTGGTAAGCTCTGGTCTAGGATATAAGCACTTATATCCTTTACAAAACATTCCTAGTGCTCAGAGCCCTTTCTTCCTGCCTTTTTTTCTGTGCTAGCCCAGACAAATTTGTAACACCCATCATCAGAGATTCCATGATCCATATTAGCATTCAAATCCCAGGAAGGCATTATAAAACAATCCTGAATGGCAAGAGAAAAAGGGTGGCAAGAAGCTGAAGGCAATATCTGGCTGATAATGAGACAAGTACAATTGTAGCAGGCTCCTGGAAAGCTCATCAAGAACAATCCCTCACATGGTTTTAGAAAATATGCAACAGGAAATTACAGCCTGAAGGCACTGTGTTCACTAGCAATTCCCAGCTAAGAAGAGAGAATACAAACCAAAATAATTGAATAAGACTCCTTGAGCTTTACATGCCAGCTCTGCATTTGCCAAGGGAAGTGGGCAAGCAGCAAAAAAGGGACACAGTATATCACTAATTATCAAATATAGGAGAGAAATAACCTGATTGTCGGAGAAAGAATTCATAGAAACATAAAATCATAGTACCTTCTAGGTTGGAAAAGACCTTTAAGACTATTGATTCTAGCCATTAACCCAGCACTTCCAAGTCCACCAATAAACCATGTCCCTAAGTGCCACATCTACAACTCTTTTAAGTATCTCTAGGGATGGTGACTCAATACATTTTCCACAATGCATCTGTGTCTGGAGTGAGGCATTTGGCAACGTATTTGTGATGAAAAGACAGGGGAAATCATCTCATGCTTCTTACATTGACATAGCTTTTGTATTGAGGCTTCTAAGGGGAGACTCAGCCTATGCACAACGTGGACACAAAGCAAGCAAGGCACTTTAAGCTGTTTGCTTTTGTGGAAGAAAAGTACAGGATAGGTAATTGAGTTGTGCAGGGGTTTGCCACTGTCATAAGGCAAATGAAACACTCTTCTTGGCAGTACCCTACCAACAGCCAGCTCGCTATTGCAGGGCGTTTCTTCTCTATTTTGCAGAAAGCCTAAATAAATGGGGGGTGGTAGAGGGGGGTGGGCAGAGGGGGAATGAAGAAAAGTGGAGGCAGAAGGAGTGGGAAAGCCATCTACATCCCCTTTGTGGCCAGGCAGGACATTGCTTTCCCTCAGATGGGAGGAAGCATTACAGATCCAGCCAAGCCGCTCAGAAGCAGCATTCCAGGCCCTGGTCCTGCTACCAGGGGGGAAGTGATCCTCCCTGGAGCTGTGACCACAGATCCCCTCCTCTGTGTTCTCCCACTCCCAGCACAGTGACAGCCAGCCATCAGTACGTGTACAGGTATCCAGCGCCGCCTTCTCCCTGTGCCCAAGGCCAGACAGGACGTTTAGCCATTGAGTCAGGACTACAAAAAACACCGGGAACTGTGCCAGCCGGGACACTCTAATTAACAAAATTTTTTTGTGCAGTGGTTTTATTACTTTGCTTTCTGGCACTGAAGCTTTAATGCGAATTTTGGACGCAGGCACGGACGGAGCAGCAGAGCCCGAGCCACCCCCGCCCCTCCCTCAGAGGCGACGCAGGGCGGGAACAGTGGGACGAGGCTGCCCCCTGCTGGCGGGAAGGCGGAAAGGCGGGAGCCGCGCTTCCCGGGAAAGGGCCGGCACTCCGCTGGAAAGGGCCGGCACCCCTCTGGAGCGGGAGGCCTGCCCGGCCCGGGGGTCGTGTTCCAGAAGAGCCCGGGGGGTGGGGGGGGTAGAAAATGCGGCGGTGAGGGGTGAGGGAGGGAGGGGCAGAGTGGTGGTGGGAGAGGTAAGCGGCAGTCCCCGCAAAAGGGTTTTGGGGGGCGATTGTCAAAACAGGCGGACTGAGTGCTAAACTAAGGGGATATTTTGATCGTAGAATCACGGAGTGGTTTGTGTCGGAGGGGAGCTCAGAGCTTATCTAGTTCCAGCTCCCCTCTCCCCTGGGGCAGCGACACTTCCCGCTACAAAGGGTTGCTCAAAGCCCGAGCCAGCCTGGCTTTGAACACTTCCAGGAACGGGGCATCCACAGCTTCCCTGGAACAACGTGGGTTACTACCCTCACAGTGAGGAAACTTTTCCTAATATTTAACCTAAACCTACCAGCTGTCAGTTTTAAGCCATTACCCCTACAGTTATGTGTCCTTGTAGGAGGCCCTGGTGGTCTAGTGGTTAAGGGTGCGGCGCTGTCACCGCCGAGACCCGGGTTGGATTCCCGGTCAGGGCCACTCCCGGGCAGATGGAGCTCGTTAGCCCTTAAAAAGGCAACCCATCTACGTCCTGAGGACCTCGCTGCCACCGTCCAAGCTCGCTTGGCCCCGGCAGATGAACCTTAAGATTAAAGGGTGGGCTCAGTTCCGCGCACACTGTGTCTCGCCTAAAAAATCCAATGCGCAGGCTGGAAGGTGTAAAGACCTTCCCCGGATCTTCGCTCGTGAAGACTGGCCATTATTATTATGTGTCCTTGTAGAAAGCCCCTCTCCAACTCTCTTGCAGGTCCCCTTTACGATACCAGCAGGCTGCTACAAAGCCTCCCAGGAGCCTGCTCTTCTCCAGCCTGAACAACCCCAAATCTCTCAGTCTGCCTCTTGGAGAGGTGCTCCAGCGCCCTGATCATATTTGTGGCCTCCTCTGGACTCACTAAAACAGGTCGATATTCCTCTTACGCTGGGGACCCCAGGGCTGCAAGCGGTACTCCAGGGAGGGGGCATCGCCAGAGCAGAGTGGGAGAATACCCTCTCTTGACCTGCTGGCCACACTGCTTTTGATGCAGCCCAGGACACAGTTGCTTTCTGGGCTATAAGCGCATGTTTTTGGGTCTTGCTGAGCTTTCTAGTCAACCAACACCCTCAAGTCTCCTCAGGGAGAGGTTTTGTCCTTTAGGGAATATAAAGGAGAAAAGCTGGCAAACTAAAGTGTTTAATGCAGACTTCCCTTTTCAGCACCTTTTAAGACCAGTCCCAGTTCTTCCCCAAGTGCTTTTTTAACCCAGAGGACTGGAAATGAAGCCTCAGTTCATCTCCTCCTTCTTCTCCTGCTGCTGCATAAAGGCCTTAGAAACCCTCTGCAGGCCTCTAAAGATAGGTATTTTCCTCTGGTATCAGAGCTGACAGTTTAGCCCAATCTTTGTTCCCAGGGCAAATGTGACTTGTATCAGTATAACCGTCTGAGGAGACTCTTAAACATCTCGTTTTGGTCTAACACAACAGGAGATAACCTTTCTTTGCCACCTCCCAGTCTCCACAACTCTCCAAGATGTGGTAGAGAGTGGAGCAATACACCCACACAGAGTCTTTTAATACAGATAACTGCTAAGTCAAGTGTCAGTGTACAATTCCCCAAAATCATATAGCTTTTCAGTGAGTCACATCAGCAACATTACCCTTCCCTTTGGACTCCTACATACACCATGGTTTGCTGTGCAGACAGAGTTCATTTGTAGAAGTATCGATATCATAATTTTGGGTTATAGGGATTTAAATTAAGTTTGGGGTTTTTTAATTGCTACAATCATACTTACTTACATGGACTCATTGAGTCTATTTGAGTGGCTTTGTGTCTCTCCCATGTCCAATTACCTCTGAAGCCCCCTCAAAATGCTCCATCTAAAAACCTCCAGAAGTTCACTTGTCATCATTCTGAATAAAGATAACTACAGGCTTTGTTTTGTTCTCTCTTTACCTACCTTCCCAGTTCTCTCTAACATTAAAATAAAACCTAGGTGGCAGCAGAGAAATATTCTGACTTGACTCACTCAACTAGGATACATACAGTTTTACATCAACCATTCAAGGAATTATAGGGGCAATAGCATGAATGTCATTAGGAAAAAAACCAGAGTATTTTAATACCACTAATTTATTTAACATCAGCTTTTAGCTCTACGTCAGTTGCAGCAAGCCTACTTTTTTTTTTTTAGAAAGTCCTGTTTTCCTTCCCATCTCACTTGTCAGCTGAGGGTTGAAGGGAGGAAGGTCCCAAGGCTGCAGTTACTGAAACACACACGCCCGAGTGGGAGTCGAGTGGGTATTCTTTACTGACAACACGTCAGCCAAGAGAGAGAGCAGTAGAAACGAAATCAGATACAAAGCAGGAGTCTGAGAGAGAAAGGGGTACGCCTCTTCAGCTTCAACTGTTTGCTCAATCTTCGTATAAAGGGATGACTGATGATCTGCTGTATGATTTATCCTTTCTTAGAAGGCCTCTTTTTTCTTTCCCGGACTAGAATACTTGCTGCTTTTATTTGCCCCATGTTCCTAAAGTAATAATGTCATATGTTAATGTCCTAGAAATAAAATTTGAAGATTACTCAACAAAGAATCAGGTAACAGCAAAGCCTCGAGTAGTTCATAAACAAAAATATTTATTTTTCAGTTGTTCATGGCATGTGTCAAATTCCTGGTTACAACAAAAAATTGTAACAAACAGCATCACAGTGACATATAATCAAGCCATAACAGTGCAGTTTATTATAACTGTGTAAACAAAAAGAAGTATTTCCGTAATGGCACTCTTCATGAACCAAATTATGGCATACAGAATCTTAGCAAAAGTCAAAAGAAACATTTAAAGAGGAAAAAAATTAACCACCCAAATTGAAGCAGTGTTTATGAACCTGGCCAAAAAAACGCCCAATCCACATTTCATCACAGAAAAGAGTGTCCTCAGCCTTTTGCTTGGTTTGTTATTAAGGAAATTAAGTCTTCATTTTTTCAAGGCACCAATCCAGCATGTGAAATATTACTTTTACTGAATGATATGAGCAAAGAGCAAACATCTCTTAATTATAACCATGTGAATACCTCCTACTGTGACATTATTAAAGGAGACGAGATGATTTGAGAATGTTATTGTCTGTATAGCATGACACTTGTGAAAGATGTTCCATAGGAAATAAAAGTAAGTTACTGAGAAATAAAATCCAAAGCGCGCTGTCAAAGAAACTTTTGTGCGTAAATATCAAAAAGCGGAATCTTACCTTTCTGTAACAGAAGTAAACAATTTGCTTATAAGACAAAGTACATACTGTAAACTGTAAGATGGACTTTGAATTTGAAGTACACTCTTCTGAAACATATTTTATATATTAGCACCTAAAATGGGATTTAAACAATTTTAATGGATTTCAGCTCATGCATTAGTTATTATTTGCTTGACGGATAAAATTTTTCAGCAACCTTTTAGCGTTCTGTGAGATCCTCTTAATCAAAACACACAGGTCTGAATGCCACTACATTTTAAATGTGTACTTTTCATACAGGAAGTTTGGATATGTTCCATCTGCAGAGAAAAGGTCCCATAGTAGCAGGAGGTAAAGACAGAGGAAAGAAGCTACAGTTATTAAAAAATACCAGAAAACTGAGAGTATTCATATAATTCATAAATATTGAGAGTAATCATATAATTACAAGCTGGTATCTTCAGTTTACAGAAAGCTATAAATTTGCTTGTTTAAAAAAAATAAAGACATCCAACATGTGCTTACTCACATGCTGATATGGAGTTCATGCAAACTATTAAAAAAAACCCCAAAACTTAGAAATGTTACCCTTCAGAAATGCTGCACATACTTCATCCTCAAATAAACTGAGGCCCCATCAGAAGCAATAGGGACTTAATGTGCACATTGACTCAAGCAACATGTAATTGTTTCCTCTGTAATGAGAAGTGAACAGCAGTATCAAACAGGAAATTTCATTGACTAGTGCTTCATTTCAAACACTGTTAGGTCCAAATCCAGGTTCACTTGTCATCAAGCAATAAAACTACCTTAAAAAAAAAAAAGTTATTTTCTTGGAGGAAGGACATTTTCTTCATAATAGCCTGGATTTACTACATTTCCAGCTGGATCATATCTAGCCACCACAAACGTTGAGCCATCACTAGCAGCTGCTTTTCCAACTCCCATCTTTTTTGTATTCTTCCAAACCATTGCTGTGAAGTGACCTGAAGAAAGAGAGAGAAACATATGCATTCACTTTAGGTACTAAATCTGTAACATTCCCTTTACCATTGTAAAGGTGAGGTGCCAGGAAAGAAAGACCAATACAAAGCTGCTTTTTTATCTAACAGGAAAAGAAACTATGAACATGAAAAAGAACCCTACATTTGCATTTTGTCTTGAAAAACCCTGATCCATACTGGTTCCCTTCTACTATTCTCATTTCCATGTCCTATATCCAAATAAGAATACCTAGTTGGAGAACCATGAAAGAAGTAGTTTGGAAAGTATCTGATATAAAATTCAACAGAGATATCTTTCTCTATACTCTCTGCAGTGTGAAGAGCAATTCTGAAAGTGACTATTATTCATTTGCTTTAACCATCTCATACTCCCCCATATGTTTGCATGTGCAACTGTTCAAAAGAACACTGTTTTTGTGGCTTCTTCTGCCTAGTTTAATAACCACCCCTGCATTGTGCTGCTTCATCAGTTGTTCCCTCTATGCATAGACAAATCCCCTGGGAGAAAAACACGATTTTCTTCATCTGAGACAAGCTCAAGCATCTCTCTTGCTTGAACATTATTCCAACGTCCTTAAGTTCATTCCGCACCAGATTGGCAATATGTAGCCAACAGCCTCTTCCTCATCTCCAAATTTTAACTGAAGTGATCTCTGTGAGCAGAGTGATATCATTCAGTAAAATTCACATGTCAATATAAGTAACACCACAGTACATTTAGTAAGGCACCTATATGATTCCAACTTATTATTTCCTACAAATTAATTTGCCTTAAAAATAAGTTGCCTGTTATAAACTTTGGAGTTGGAGGAAAAATACAGTACTAAAAAAAGCCAATAAATTTTGCTAACTTTCTCATTTTTCAGTTTCCTTCTACCTTCTGCCAGTTTTTAACACAAAACTTTGGGGGAATTCTAATTTTTTTTTACTTTCTAATACTTTTTCTAAGAAAAAAGATTTTGTTTTTTTAATATCAAACAGTTTCTTAAAGCAATTTCTTAAAATAGCTGTGGTTTTGAAGAGATAGTGCCCAATTTGAACTTACCTGTCCCAGAAGAAAACCCTGGGTTTTGAAAACTGTAATTTTTTATTTCACTGTACCATCTGTCAGCCACATCCTTTCCTGAAAGACAAAGCAAATATGCTGTGGAATCATGACATTAACACAGAATTGTAGCTCACTTACAGCCTGGCCAGCAAGATCTTCTAAAAGCTGGCAAGAACTTCTAGAAACATGGAGAAAGATCCTTTTACTGAAAAGAGTTTTTGAAATGTAGGTAACATGGTAGTACATGCAAGTTACCAAGTCTTTATTGTTTCACAATAGCTGTTGCTACTTTTATCACAGAATCACAGAATAGCAGAGGTTTGAAAAGAACTTTAAGATCACCGAGTCCAACCATTAACTCAGCACTGTTAAGTCCACCACTAAACCAGGTCCTCAAGTGTCAGATTTTCCTCATATCCAGTCTAAATCTTCCCTGGCACAACTTGAAGCCTTTTCCTCTCCTCCTGTTGCTTGTTTCCTGGGAGAAAAGACTGACCCTCCTTTTGCCATGACCTTATCATGTGGTTGTAGAGATGGTAAGGTCTCCCAGGAGCCTTCTTTTCTCCAAGCTAAACAACCCCAGCTTCCTCAGCCTCTCCAGACTGTGCTCCAGATGCTTAACCAGCTCTGGACACACTTCAGCACCTCAACGGCCTTCTTGTAGTGAGGGAACCTAAAGTGAACAGGATTTGGGGTGAGGCCTCACTAGTGCCAGCTACAGGGGACGCTCACTTCCCTGGTGTTGCTGGCCACACTATTGCTGATCCAGGCCGGGATGTCATTGGCCTTCTTGGCCACCTGGATACACTGCTGGCTCATGATCAGCTGGCTGTCAACCAGCATCCTAAGGTACTTTTCCACTAGGCAACATTACAGCCACTCTTCCTAATTTATTAATTTAATAAAGTACTAATTAGTCCAATGCTTTTAATTAAGCACCTCATGCCACCAATGATTTGAGTTCTGTTTGATGCAAACACAGTCTATCAGTTTCTCCACTGGAGTACCAGGGAACCTGTGGTCAGCAGAGCCTGGCTCCGAGCCTGGGCAGGCAACCCGCAAAACAACTTTAGAACCAGGTAGAGTTCATCCTGTTGAGGAAAGATCCCTGCAGCAAGGCTCTCAGCAGGTAGGACAGAGCTGACGATTAGATGAGTGCTATACTATCACCAACAGATCAGGAAACAGGCGCATCCATCAATTCTCATCTGCTGTTAAAACTTTTCAAGGCTGAAGTTAGAAAATCCTTTGTACAAGAGAGAACTGTGTGGCATAGCATTTGGATCAAGATGGTCCAGTAATTCCTTTAGTCCTCGAAGAAACATCTGGAAACTTTAACCCATAAGTTTACATTTTTTCTGCCCAGAACCTTCTGTAACTTTCTGCTTGGAAGGTAACGAAGACACATCTCCCTCACCTTGGATGAGTGCTCCTCTCATTAGGCTTCTACATACAGCTTTCACCAGCTCCTTCTTCCTGATATGTGTTTTGAAAATGCCAGATTTTCTAAGCAAAGGGCACAGGGACCTGTTCCACATGGAGGTCTCCCCCTGTGGTGCATGAAGATATCCCCTTACAGCTCCAGATAAACCAAAGAAAAATGACACTTCTGAAGTCCTCCAGTTTCCCACGTTCTCATCAGCATTGAATACTTCATATTTCTGAGTGCATTTATTTTTGTTGTTCTTATTTAGCACTTAAGCCACTGTGAAGATCCATTTCGAGACACGCTAACTCAGGGTACTACAGCCAGAAACCTCTACTATACATGCTGTGTCTGTGTGGATGTCCATGTGTCTCAACCCATCAAAGGCTTTCACTGCTAATAGCTGTGTAAGGACCATGACTACATCCAGTAATGTAGCTCAGACCAGAATTTGCAGATGCTATGCAGGCAAAAGTCAAATGTTACTTCTTTTCCATTACTGGTTATTAGGAAATTCTTGTGTCAAACACTGGGCTGGGGTGGGGGGGGAAGGTGGTTTTTCCCTAAGCTACATCAGTAACGATATTTCTGCTTACCATTCCAGGATGTATCATCAACACAAGGCCAGTAGATTTCATAGCAAGCTGCCAACGTTTTAAGCCTACCATCATGAAGAATGTTGGTCCCTGGTGGACTGTTGGCTGCAGAACAGCTATGACTCATGCTTTGCTATTTCATAGCAAAAAACCCTAAACTTCCCTGAACTTATGATTGAAGCTAAAAGGATGATGCTGCTAGCCTGGCAAGCTGGTTGTCAGATCTGTCATTGAAAAGAAAATGTTGAATGCAATGCCATCTCCTGAGAGGTTTGTGGACTGGAAGTACTATGAACTTATATGCCACACTGCTAGTTAGGAATAGTGCTCAGTAGAGTCAAATAACATGTTCTTCATAAAAAGGTAGCAAAACCTCTCTTGCTTCTCAGAGTATAAGTTTTGGGAATAACAACTGGCTTCTTCTTTCCCTCTCTCCCTGCGCCAAACAAACCCTGTAGAGATGTTTTATGGCTGAAGTATGTAACACAAATTTATTTGTTCATTTGTTACTCACACCAAAGCTAAATGAAGACTGAAAAAAGTGCAAGGAGCAATCTTTATGCAATATAAGGGAAAAAGAAAAAGCACATAGTAAAAAAATCTGCAATAAACCAAGCAGATCATCCTGTCCCACTCCAGACTTGAAGGCTTTGAAGGATTTAGATGTGTTTGTGGTAAGCTGAGTAGAACAGAAGTATAGAATGTGATTGCTGACATATCAGGCCTTATGAAGCCCATGTATTCTATGTGTACAAATGCTGAAGTAACTACACTATATAAGTAGTATTTTTATGGATGTAGGACTGCATTCCCACTGCTGCCAGTGCTTCATTTCCTCTGTTAATGTATCAGTGTGATACAGCATAAAGAATATTTAAAGAGAAAGTAATTCCCACGCTGCTTAGTGTAGCTCTAAGAAGTGTGCTGCCTGTGACAGAACTTAAAATTTTCATAATGAAAGTATTGCAGGACACATGGAAGTTTTAGCAAACACAGTATCTCTTCATAATTAATTTGCTTTTAATTCAAAGAACACTATCATGTGAAAATCATGTGACTACTTTATGCCTGAAAGGCAACAAGCATAGCTGGACAGCATAGCCTATGATGTACTAATTCCCAGACTTCTAGGATGAAAACTTGCAGTTTACTGAGGCCAGGCAGTGAAAGCCTAGAAGTAGATCCCTATGTTCCATTTCTTCATAGGCGGGATCAGGTTATCATTATATGGCGTTGCTGTCATCATCCTTGGATTAAAAGAGTCATGGTGTCATAAACTGTGAGAAAATAAAGACTAACCTGATTCCAGCAAAAGGGAAGGTGACCAAAGGACTAGGTAACTTTTGACAAACTATCTTGAAATCATATTAAAGAAGTGTTCTGTCAGTGAAGAGAGTGAATTGTATCTTTCATATGCCACAGGAGGTGAGAGGGAGTCCAATGCAGAATTTATTACCACGTGAGAAGACAGGTAGGTACATAGTGATTGAACACTCTCTCTTTCCTCTGAAATACTTGTCTTCTGATTCTTTACCCTTTGGGAAGCAGTAAACAATGCCCTGGTGGGAACAAGACAAACCAATGTTGAAAGTGACAGTTGGCACACAGGGGACTAAGGAAAAACTGTTTTGAGCCCTATGATCCCCAGGCTTCCAGAGAGAAAACAGCAGAAGGGTCAGCAGAGCACTGAGCTTACCCACTTTAGCAGCAACTGGCACCCTTAGACTTACCCTTTCAGAAAACTGACCACAATATTTCCATTTGAAAGCATTATGGAATAAATTCTGTAGTCCTATTTAGAGTCTGTCCCATTGCTTTTCAATGTTTCATTGAAAACAGCTCCCACTGCCCCAAAAGTTCCCCCAAAATAGGGGTTGGTTGCTGTTCAAAATGCTTTTCAATCAGAAGGAAAGAACACAGAAAAGAAATCACTGCCACCTCTCATTCATGATTATAGCAGAAATGATAAAGTTTACTTCTATCAAGAAGCGTGTGGACCTGCCCTACAGCCAGCCCTGCAGCTTCTCTTCTGTTGCTCCACTTGCAGAACCAATCAGTACACTGCTGAGTTTTTTAAATACCCTTCCTGTTTGCATGGCTGAAAACCACACTCATAGTTTCAACACTTTCCCTATGGGAACACAGAAGGACTCCACCTTTCTCCTGGTGTTCTTACTAGGTGTTCATTTCAGAACAGGCTGAATCTCACTCTAATGAGTTTCAACAGTACCATGACAGACAACTGGAGTGGAACTGCAGCCTCAGGGATTGGTATGTCCAGGTGCAAGCTACTGGGGAGACCAGCAGGGTCTGTATATATATATACACACACATAAAAATATATAATTACATATTAAACACTATGAAATATATCTATTTTTAAATCAATTACTAAAAATATATATATTTGTACTTATATATACTATATTAATTTACTTACACATATTCCAGTAGGATATATATTGCAATCAGCCAAGAAGGGGAACAGGAAGAGGCCACTGGTGCTGTTCATTTTAGTGCTGACTGCATTTATTTGTGCTGCTCTGCATATACATGCATGTATATGCTGTATATGTGTGTTTGTGGGTGGGAGCATGGAAATACATTCCCAGCCTCACCACTGGGAAGACTATGCTGTGGCAGCCCCACTGCTGCATTCAGCTCCCCCAACACATAATTTCTCTGAGCCCAGCCTTACTGTTTCTCCTCACACCAAAGAATCCTTACATCTTCAAGTAATCCCACTGAGAGAGTTGCTGAAAACATTCTAATAAAATCACATAGGACATATTTGTCTGCAAGGATGGGCAGCACCTTGGTAGTCTACTTAAAAACTGGGTTATCACAACATTCCTTCTACCAGTCCCAGGGAAAAGAAGGTAGAAGAAGATTCAACTTCACCTCAGAAATAAAATATCTACCTAGAATAAAGTCATACTAATGCGTTTTGGAACTAATTATCTACTTCCAGCATTCCTCATGCAGGTCCTTACTTTATTTTACTTTATTTAACAGTACTGTATAAGCCTGGTGTAAGACAGGGCTGAGGCAGATGGTGCCTGTGCCCACTAGTCCTGATCTGTAGGAGACCCAGGTTTCTCCCATAACTGATTTGGGTGACAACATACAGTCGATTTCTCTAGTAAACTCTCTCAAATCCAGAAGCTGCAGTGCTTTCACAGGCAACACAGCACATTCTTCATGACCACACCAGCCATCCCAAACAGAATTTAGATATCCAGTGTTTGCCTTCATCCTCCTGACACATGAGAAATGAGATGAGGCATCCTGAGAAGCCTGACATACTACAGCTGCCAAGGCAGGCTGTGGCCTCTTGCATTACTGGCAGATGACAGCTCACTTATTTGAACACAGACAAAGAGAAGTCTGCCACAGAGCAGTTCCTGCAGGACTGGAGGGAGGAAACAGCTGTCAACTATTTCTTGGATTACAGGGATAAACATATTTCCAGCAACAGCTTTAGGGTATGTAACTCTAAAATCCTGAATACAATTCCAGGTATTCTTGAAGAGGAAAGGAGTCAGGCTAGAAGGTTTTATAGTTCAAAGCTTAAATCTTCTCTGAAACAAGAAATGCATCTTCTGGTATTATTACAGAACTCAGTAAGAGCCAAAATAAACAACAGCATCACTTTTTGAGAGGGAATACTGAGTATGTTAGAGGTTTATTGAATTTTGCTTTATCTAGGGATGAAACCGGAAGACATTGCCTGCCTTTGTTAAGCCCATGAATGGATGCCTTAATCCAAATTTCAGCCTCATTGAGCAGAGTACAAATTAACTATCCAAAGGGAACTATATGAGAAAAAGAGGAAGAATGAACTAGCTACACAAAGATGAAGACTAAGCCAGAAGAGAAAATAACTTTCTTTGAAGAACTAGCTTTCTCATTCTGGTACTTTGAGTGATCCTGCTTCATTGGAAATGTAGAAGTGTTTTACAGAACAAAAGAGGATATAGTTTAATTTTCTCAATAAGGCATTCAATCCTGTAGATTAAAAAAAACAGCAAAACTGCTCAAGACTGGAAAGTTATGTACGGAAACAGTGCGTTGAAGAAAACAAATTGGGTCCAGAAAAAGACAGCCATTATGCAGAAGGATTTGTGTGTTATATTTCCAGCTCTCCGAATGGGAATTCTGTGACTTTAACCTAGGGGGCAGGAGCACAGGTCATTAACACAAACAAGAAGAAAGAAGTAAGCTCAGTCAGTGAGTCATAGCCACTATGCAAACTTTGCCGTACATCTGTGTTTTCCCATGCTGCTCTGAACCCTTGCCTCACACTTTTGCAAAGGACAGAATGCCAAATATGAGTAGATCAAATTGTAATTTTCCACCATGGGTTTCTTTTTCAACATGAAAAAGTACCCACTTGGGACTAAAGTTGGCACTTGAGGAGGAACTAAGCAACATCCCTGGGTCTAAAACTCACTAAAATTTCCAGGTCCTTCAAACACAGCCTGCGGAAATGAACTTCTGTTTCCTCAAGGCTGTGCTGGAAATTCCAGAGGTAGATTGGAACAAAGAAAACAAGTGGTCACTTTTAATACATCCCACCTGCTGTCCCTGCAGGCTGAGGCATGAGCCCTGCCCACTGGAGGAAGCGAGGAGGGAAGAGCCTGCTGAATCTCTCTCCAAGGGCTCACCACAGGCTGTCAGCCTGGCAAAAATTCAGCTCCTGGGGCATCCAAACCAAAGGCTGCCAGTTACATGTCACATTTACAACCAGAAAATATATGGAGTAATTTTGTCTTCAAAGATGAAGGGATAGAAGAGGGGTCAAAGCCTGTTTGCTGACAGAGTGGAAGATACTAACACAGTAACACTGTCACTTTGTTGCCCAGTTCCCTGTTTTTGCCCCCACAAACAGGAACTGCTGTTTAGTATGCAATAGACATTTTTCCACTTTCCTCACCACAGCCGTGGGCAGACCTCTCTTTGGCTGGGACAAACTAAGGACAAAGGTGAAGTGCACTGCACTGATGTCTTCCTTCTCTCCTACCATGGATATAGAAGTAGCACTAAAGACAGCTCCACAGTAGGGACATATGGAGCAGCCTAGCTGCCAAGTTCCACCTCCAAAGGGACATAACACAGTACCACAGTCCCTTAACCCCTCTGTGCCTACATGTGCTTCTTGTTCTCTGTACACACAGGCTATTGCAAACCACCATCCTGCCCCCAGGGAGCCTGGGTTAAGTTGGGCTGGACAGTGGTGGATACACTTTTGAAACAGAGGAAACTCCAGCACTCTTGCAACCAGATGATCTGAGTTCAAAGTACGTCAAAGTACATCAAAGTACAATTTGGTGTCTGTGAGACAACAAGAGAAGAAAACTCACCTGACTGATCATAGGATGCCCATGCTAGGTTTTCTCCACATTTTCCATTAGCAGACTCAGAGCTGTGCTTGAGGACCCTTGTGGTAGCCAGTTCTTCTGCATATCTAGCAAAGGAATTCACACATTGGGTGAGGGACCACCTCATGGAAGTAAATCATATGTTCTCAGTGAGATTGGAAAAAAAAGACAGAAATGGGGATTCAGTCAAAGCAAGCATAAAACCCATGCATTCACAAATGAAAAAAAAAAAAAAAAAGAAAAAAGTCAAATGCAAAGAAACAACAGTGTGCCAGACAACAGGGTGGAAGAGAAGGGGACCACATGGAGACTGAGGTAAAAACGGTGTAAACTGACATAGGATAAGCAGCAGTGTTTCTGTAGAAGTTGATGTGTGAGAGCTGTCAATATTTTACTGTCCTACAACAATAGGGTTAAGAAGGACATTGCAAGTAAACAATTTTTCTCTTTATTCAACACTGGAAGGGCTTCAGCACAAAGACAGTGAAATTGGAAAGACCATTTGTTATTTCTCATGGCACAAGAAATAGGAGGCAACAGGGAGAACCATCAGGTCACAGATTTAAAAATCAAGTGAGACAAAGCACTCCTTCCACACTGTGTGGCAGAAGTCATTGCCACAGGATGATGCAGACACTGAAGCCCATGCGGGTTTGAAAAAGACAAATTTACAGCGTGTGTATGTGGGGGAGAATCTTCAGGGCTTGTAAACAACAGCAACAAATAAATGAGGAGACGACCTACTGCTTAGGAAAACCATAATTTCCAGGATAAATCTGTAATTTCCAGGAGAAGATAATGGGGGAAGGAACACCACATTTGTTTTGTCCTGCTACTCCTTCACTAACCATGAATTCCTGGCATCTGCCAGAGAAAGGAAATTTGTCCAGCTGAACATTTTGGCGTACTCTAGTACTTCAGTCATTAGGTTCTAATTTTCCTCTGTCCTAAACCTCCCATCAAAACAAACAAACAAACAAGTATTTAGCTATGTCCATTAATTTAGAAATAATGAAAAGTGAGTTGTCAGTCTTCTAGATCCTGAACTGAGGATCTCTAGATGTTTTTTCATGCTGTATATCACCACAGTCCTGTAGTTTTTCTCTTTAAGGATTCCCACATCCCAAGCTAGAGGGAAGACTGGAACAAAGTACACATTTCAGATGGATAAAGCTGCCAAGGATGTGAGACAAAGGGTGATTAATACACTCCAGCTCAGGCAGTTGAAAGCATGAGATTTTCATCTGAGATCATCACCCTATGCTTCATTACAGTCAGAGATAAACAGACACCTGCTGAGGGTGATTCATCCTATACCAAAGTAGGGATCCATAGTCAGTTCATCTAACCTGTCACCATTACTGGAACAAAAAATAGTAGAAAACAAACCATTTTCAACACAGATAGAGAAGCACAGAAAAGTATCCAGAGATACACCAAATACATATCAACAAAGGTAGTATCAGATGCACCTAAAGAAAAGGCGTTCTTCTTTGAATTTAAGAATATGCAAAATCTGTCTTGACAAATATGAGATTTCTTAAATTTCATGTCTTTTATTTATATCAAAGAATTTCTGGTTCTTGGTATCAACCAGATTTATCAGTCTCTGAACATGTGTCTTTCAATTATTTCAAGTTAAGCCACAGACTGCAACCAAACAAAGGTTTCCTATTGTTATTCATCACAGCAGGGCAAGTCAACTAAAACCAGAGAATACTGTGAGGAATTTCCGAAGGATCTAAAAATACCCAGCAAGGGCAATAGCACACTTAGAGATAAATGTGGAGCAATGCATATTTGATAGAATAATCTGAACTATTCATACAGGCTGACTTGTTCAAACCAAGAGCAGCACTTTGGAAACACAAGAAGTGCTATTGACAAGTCAATGAAATCTTTTCCTCACTGTGAGCCATCACGTAAAACAGAAACAAAACAACCCTTAGAAGAACAGAAGGAAAGTCCCAGGAGATTAGAAAGGTACATGGATGAGTCACTGGCATTCCATCTCTTAGAAATACTGTATCCAGTTATTATGGTGTCTCAAAAAAAAAAAGAAAAAGAAAAAACCCCAAGATTTTACTTGCTGCCAAGGTCGTGTCCATACGCCACGTAGACCGTGTGTTATACAGCACAACACCTGGCAGAGATGACTGGTCTAGGAGTGCAGGAGCTAGTGCATCTGTGTGACAGTGCAGCACCATGCTGGGACAGTAAATCAGGTTCTGCAAAACTGCAGCAGCCTCTCTGGCTCCCAGCCAGTTGGCACAGAGAAGTCTGAACAGAGAAGTTATGGTAGAAAGCCTAATGATCTTTTACCTGCAAGGATCAAACTGGTCACTGTTTAGCTGTTATGGGAAGACATTTATATTCTGAGTAGTTTAATCAGCATTTACTCTTTCAGTTATATCTCCTTTGCACAGTGAGGATCAGCCTGAAAAAATCGAAGATTTTTAAATCTACTTTTTGAAAAAGGTTGCTGTAAAGCAAAAGGAATTAATCTGGTTGTCGTAACTACAGTAAAGAGGACAAGCAGTACCAGACTCAAATTTGTCTAAGAAAGACTGAAGCCAGAAAGCAAGAAGTTGTGCAGTCTTCAGCACTGGAGAAGAGGTAAGATGTTTGCCTCCTAACAGAATAGAGAATATATTGTGCTTTTGCTTTTGGGGCATGGAGACAGGTAATTAGATCTGATTCCTTCTGATTCCACTGATCTTAGACCAGTCACCACATCTTACCATGAATAAGTTCTTTATCTCGCTATTTCAGCAGCTGTGGATATTCTCCTGCAGATGATAATCCATCATCTGACATAACTGGTGGTGAAGCATGTCTTAGGCAACTACCAGAGGAGACATATCAGTGCAGACAGATGCAGTGATGTCTGAAAAAGGGTCCAGGACAGATTTATACAGTTGTGACCACAGAAGTGTCCATATAAGCAGCTAGACCTATGTGATGGAGAAAGAGAGGACAAAAGAGCGGAGTCCCACACTTTCCACCCAGTAAGTCTTCACCGTGTATCAGCATGTCAAAAGGCAAATATTTTTGCAGTATGCACATTTGAACCTAACAGAAAAAAGCGTCACAAATCTCTTTAGAGAAAAGAAAGGACTGAACTCACTGTTGGGCTCCTCTGTTTAACTTCTTGCAGAGTTTTAAGGGGGGAACTCCGTGTTTCTTCCTGCAGTCATTGTGTGCTTTCAAGACTTCTTCAGCAAATTGTTTGGAAGCTGAAATCATATTAAAAAAATCGGAAAGGTCTGTCAAATACAGACATTGGTGAAGACAGAAAAAGCATACCCTTTAGCTAAGATACTGGTGCAGGCTGGACAGAAGAACAGAAGAATACTGCCCTCATTACCTGGGAGTAGGATGAAATGAACCGTTAATGACTTCCACCCAGAAATTACCTCTAATAGATACTCCTATTGTGATGGTACAGACTCACCAAAGGTTGAAAAAAATGTCATCCTTATTGCTTTCCTCAATAGCAAGAGGATTTAAGGTTAGTCAGTCAGTTTGTCAGTTTAAAAGAAAAGTCAGTTTGAGTAATTTTAAGATATCAGTGCTCTGCATCACCACTGCAGAGTCTCAGAGTAAGAGGCAAATAGGTCCTTCAAGGAGATGCATTAAAAATACAAATTATGGTCCACAAATTATCAGTATTAGTCAGGACACCACCTAAAGAAAATGAAGATACTAAATGTTTAGAACTATGCAAGTACTATGAAACATGTACCATTCTTCTTATTCATTATATAACATAAATTCATAGAAATCTCGAAATGTACCTTTATTTGGCTCAAGACAAATAATTGTTCACAAACAGCACGTGCTAAGGAAAGAAATGACTGCTGGGGATGACTTTTCCCCCCTGCACTAGACTGTATTCAGTAAACATGTGAGTTCCAAAGTTACTGCAAAGCTTTAAAAAAGCTTATGTTTGTACCCTGGTAAACTTGAGACTTTCAGCAGCACAAGCAATCAGTCACAGTGCAATTCACTTTGACAGCAATTTCATGGTACCTCCTTTTATGACTTTGCTGATTTTTCTCAAGAGTCGGGGAAAAAAAACCTCTGCCATTGGTCACCCTGTGGAATTTGCTGCTTAAAGAGAATTATGGAACCTGAAACAGGGTATTGGGACAATTAGAGAAGTATAGATAGCATCTTCAAAGCAGAAAGACAGTTTTCACTTTATCTTGCTGAAGCTTCTGAACAGGACAAGAGAAATCTTTAAGTATTTAACTCTGCTTTTACCCTGACACAGGTTTTTACATTTATTAGTTATTCACCAGCTTAATTTCTGAATATCCTAACTGCATGACTAGCATAATTTTCCTTGTAAGACACTTTTGAAGCCCAAACAGACCTCATATCTAGAAAGCATTTCCGGTTATTAACCTTGGATTTCTCAACTTCCTATTATTACTCCATCCTAACAACTAAAATCAATCAATCATTCTCAGCTTTATTAGCAAGCACACTGTTCTGTTGTTTGTAATGATGCACTTTCTCCACAACAGAGCTGTCAGTTTGCACATACTTCTCCCAGAACTTTTTCCCAAGTTGATTACCCAACTCACACTCATGTTTTAAGCTGTTCTCGGAGTTCTCTCCAGTTTCTTCAACAGCATTAGGAAAATACAGCAGCCTAAGATAATCTCAATATCCAGTGCATATAATAAAGCCATAACTATTTAATGAAGCACATTAAATGTTTGAAGTTGGATTGAATCTTTCCTGACCACAGTCTCATTGTGGACATATATCTAATATATTCTCCATCAATATGCTTCCAGGCTCATTTTTGGTATCAAGTTGTTGGCATAACACTTCAACTCTGTTGAATAAAATGAGATCTGCCCACCACACCTTCCTCCTTTTCAGTTCTCATTCAATTTTGTGTATCACAAAATTGCATATCATCAAACAAAACAGGCACCTCCATTCTGGTATTCAAGCATATCCTCCGTTCCCCCCCCCCTGCCCCTTTTGCTAATGAACCTGTCCCATCACTCTTATTACATCACTCACAGATCACTGATTCTATCAGGCCAGACTCCTAAACCTCTCCTCTGCTACATCACCTGAGGTAGATAAGGGTAACCTATTAGTACAACATGTATCACAGAGGAAACAACACCTACTCCTGACGAAGGCAAGCCTACAGCCAGTTCACTTAAACTCACTGATCAGGGCGTCCATGCTTCCAGCAGTGAAATGTTAAGACAGCCTGCAAATCAAAGAGGTTGAAACACACAGCTTTGAAAGTTGCATCACATACTTCAGGCTACATTTTTTTTTCATGAGACCATCCTAAGGCTTGTGACTGTTATCACCTGGAGTTAATATCCCATCTTCTCAGCACTGAATAGTAGATAAACAATATGACCTGCAATTATGAAAATTTCAAATCAAATTATTTTCTCTCAATGACAATAACAAACTAAAATTTTAAAAAAAATCAGCTGAAATACAGATGTTATGAACAGTCCATCCATTAAGAGAAATAATGCGTAATTCAGCTCTAAACTAACATTCTGATTTACATAGATCAACAAGTCATGAACAAAACTCAGCTGCTTCTAGTTACAGCAGACACTGCTATGCTGTCTCTAGAGAACCTGCATCCTCCCCTTCCCTCAAAGTGGCTGCTATAGAAATACTTATCTTCTGTGACTCAAGCTCATGTGCTAACCACCTCCCTCTGTGCAGCTTCTCCCGTGCCTGATAATGTGTGGAGAGGGACGCCCAACCGCCAGATACATTTCAGATCTGTTTCAGGAGGCATGTTAAGTTTTTCCATTTTACCGATGTTCCATACACTGAGAAGCCAGACATTAAAAGTGAGAGTTAATGGGAGTTTTCAGGCTCCCACCCAAATGGGAACAGCTTCCCCAACGGCTTTGGAGACGTACTTTTTTCCCTTCATGTAAGCTGCTTAAGCTGCTAGAAAAAAATGATTTCCTACTGCCAGGAAGTTAAGTTTGATCATGAATCATTACAGAGCTTAATAAGTGAAACAACTAAAGGTATTAGATACAGTTGCTTGCTCCTCATTATTCAATTATTTACCTCTATTTTGTATTCTTCTGCAACATCAGCTAAGATAATGACAGCACATGACAATAAATTTCCAGACAATTATGTGGTACAGAGCACACCTTACAGTTGTTGTGCTTTTGGACTTCCAGATTCATTGATCAACTTTATGTGACCACAGAAAAGTAAACAGAGGCATCTGTGTTGCCTTTTCCCATCAGACTTGTTTTTCAGAGAATTCTTATTTCCCTATTCTTACTGTTTCTGACCAATTCCAATCCACTCAGTGTCTCTTGGGTGAAGAGTTCTTCACGTCTGAATCCATCCTGCCTCATCTTTGAACCCTGTCTTCTCCTGCTGTTTCTCCCTAGGACTGGACAGCAAAACAGAATCAAGTTACCTGAACGTGTCTTCCACAACATGAGCTGTTCTGCGTCCACTTTTGCAGCTGTCAACTGGACCTACTCCACTGGTCTTGCAGAGCCACAAGACAGTGTGGGGAAACAGTAACAGTAAATTATTCCACCAAGCACCTCTCTACCTAATCCCTACACAACAGAAATGCTGCAGGTAGCCTTTATCTCAGCACTTGGGACACACAGTATAACACTGGGCATACACTTGACTGGAAAAAGTCTTTCTTATGCCTAAGTATCCACCCTGGTGATTGGAGAAACAGCACTGTATCAATGTACCTCTATTCTGACAAACTTCTCAAGGTGTATTAAAGGACTGGACACAAACAAAATCCTTGAGTAAGAAACATCCCAGCTTATGAAGATGACATTTTCATCTAGGCTCTTCTAATAGACCAGGCATTTATTATTAATAATCTTTATCCTCACTTGCAATGTAATTCTTTGGAAATTAGCCTTAGCTGAATCTTTTACACTCTGAGAATAGCTTAACTGATATAAGAAATGTTAAGAAGACAGTTATGTTCTACTGCATTTTGACCCAGCACTTTGGTTTGAAGTCACAAATGCTTCAGAGTGGTCTTGTACTGGTTGGGCTCTGCAGTGACACAGGGAGTGAATGTTCCATGTTTCTTTCTCCATTTATTTGACTGCACTTGCTTGCCCCCCATTTGGGACTGTAACATCTCCCAAGATTGGCCCTTAATGCTATTCCTAAATATGTCATTTGGGAGCATGGATCTGATACTCCAATTCATGAATACCTTCCAGCCATAAAAGCTGATCTCCCTCAGTGCCAAACTTCCCTACTCTCTAAGAAAACTGGCTGATTGCCTGGAAACATACAGAAGAAATGAAATCACATATAAATCTTGGAGGAAAGGAAAGATAAAATCATTCTATGTTCAGAATGGGTGGGGTTTCCTTGTCTCCTTTTTTGCCTTTGAATCAAGAATTCAGTAAAGGGGCAATGTCTCCATCCCATACAATAGGCATTTAGGAGAGGTATAATAACTGTTGGTACATTATTTCCCTTACAACTTGAATTATGCTATAACCTTACTAAAATTTAGAAGAGAAAGTATTGTTTATCAGAATTGAAGGAATTGTGAGTTATATTTAGATACAAGTTTGAATGGGAGTAGTTTCCTGTAACGTTCTTATGTTTGCTGCTAAAAATAGCTTTCCCTTCAGCTCAGGAGATCCTTTTTAAGGGAGAAGTTTCTGTGAGGTTTTTTGGCATTTAGTTTTGCCTGAACTTTGCTCACACACCTGCTTACCACTGGGATGAGCTTCAGGACAACAGTAAGATGTCTGAGTTAATTGAGTCTGATGGACAAGGACCCCGCTCATTTTTTTTTATGGGCTAACTCTACAGCAAATTGGCAACTTAAAAACCTTGCATTACCTGTGCCATATGATGTAACACACTCTTTGCCCCTATACCCAATTCGAGGCATATGGCCTGAGAATACGAAGTCAACGGTGTAATAATGTTTCAATTACATTAGTCACGTCACCATTTGATTGCAAATCCTATTCTTGCTATAATAGACACTGTTGATTACTTCCTCACTTAAGGCCTTTTATAAACTGTTAGGCAATTGACTGCCCTGATTAAAAAGGAACACCTGGTAAACTGGAAGCTGCTCAGCTCTGAGAAGCAGTAGAGCCTTCCGTGATATAAGCATTTAAAAAGCAAGCAGCATTAATCAGCAGTCTCGAGCACTGACAGAACCAAGTCTTCACTTTCACAGGAGGCAAGGGTG